TGGTCTGCCTCTAATGGTAACAGATTAAGCTGTTAGTCTCCACTGATTGCTACCTGATTGCTCTGTTGTTTTTGACAGTGCCCTTGGGGCATAAATTACTCTATAGTCTGATCCAAATAAAGTTGGGCACCTTGGCAGGGGCAAAGTATTGCTGGTTTTTAATAGTGCTTGTTTCTATCGTCTTCTGGGAAGAACCTCTGTGCTGTGGAGCAGGAGCTGGGAGTTGATTGAGAATGGATGGGCTCTTCACTGGCTGCCCCACCAAGATCCTCCCTATTGAGCAGAAGCTTGAAGTGGGAGGTGGTGGGAACTGGTGCTTTGGTTACCACCACTGCCCAGTATATATCTTCCTTAGCATAAAGCTTGGTGAGATGGCATCTGTGACTGCCAAAAACAAAAACAAAAACCTGGTATAGCTCTAGGAAACTGGGAGTAGTGGGAACTACCACTCAGCTGCTGAACTCACTAGAATAGCTTTTCTGCAATCCAGAGCTGTAAGGGAAGGGAAAGCAGTAATTCACAGTCATGAGCTGTTGGGCCTTGATCCTCCTTACAGAGTAGGAGCTGGAGATGAGGGAAAGGCTGCCACTTTCTGGCTGCTAAGCGCTCTGGAATAGTTCTTCCACACACAGAACTATGGGGGTAGAGTGTAGTTCCTACTCGAATGTGATCCTTCCTTCTGTTCTTACTGAAGTACATAGATTCAGTCAATCTCCAGAGACTTTGAATGATTGTCTTTGGTAATTTTGACTGGCTTAACAGATGTCTGTCTGGGACAGAGGTTTCACCTAACTCCTCACATCACCATTTCCAATATATGTACATAGTTAAATATTCAAACACTGCACAAAGAATTAAGTGAAAAGTAAGTCTTCCTCTCCTAAAGATGTCCTTAGGTCTGATTCCTAGAGGCAACAATTGCTACCGGTTTTTTCTTCATAACTTAGAGAGATACTTTGGCATATATATATAAAATTAATTTTTAAACCTGGATCATGAAGAACTTTAGCTGCTGCAAAATGCAGCTTCAGGATTTGAGCATGTGACTTGCTAGGATCTTGTTACACCCAAAATGTGTATTGGCTTTCCAGCTGCTTCTATAAGCATTTGTAGTCTTTATAGGTTAAGCAGTCCTTTCTGGCTTGAGTCTTGGAGATCACCTAATTTAGTTTATCATATACTTACTGGTAAAACTGGATAGTATTCTCACATCTAACATTAAATAAAGATTATAGATATCAAGATGATCACACTGTCAACATTTTTAATGATCTGTCTTTTGCTGTAGTAAACTGTATCCAATATCTGCTAGTATAGATATTGTTTTAAGTCAGACAGTAGAGTCAGAGCTGTTAAATATTTTTTAGGTGGTAAAAAGCATTGCCTTAAAATGGAACAAATTTAAAATAACACTGGGTTGGTTCTGCAGTCTTTAATTATGTTAATTGTGACATTTTTAGAAATAAAGGGCATTTTATGTGCATGTGACACTTGTGGTTTTATTCCCCTGTTTCAGCTCTGAGGACTTATTATTGAAATCCTCTGTTTTGTTTTCTGTTTGATTGCTATATAGAAAAGTATTGAATTATCTTCCCAAATGGAGAAGTTCAGCTGATGTAACCTTGTTTTACTGCTTCATCTTGTTACTTACAGTTCTTGCTTCAGTAGATCTACCTATTTGCAAGACATAAAACTGATAATAGAATTTCATCTGGGGACGGGGTGCCTGAGTGGCTCAGTCGTTAAGTGTCTGCCTTTGGCTCAGGTCGTGATCCCAGGCTACTGGGATCCAGCCCCGCATCGGGCTCCCCGCTTGGCAGGAAGCCTGCTTCTCCCTCTCCTACTCCCCCTGCTTGTGTTCCCTCTCTCGCTGTGTGTGTGTCTCTCTCTCTGTCAAATAAATAAATAAATAAATAAAATCTTAAAAAAAAAAAAGAATTTCATCTGGGGAAAGATAATAAAGAAAGTGATGAGTCTACTGGAAAGTAATTAAAGATGGATAGTCAGACTGTTGTTTAGCGGATAAACTTGCTGAGATTGTAGGAACTGTGTGTGATATGGGTTTTGACTTTCCTATACATATCCTGAATTTACTATGGGACTTCTGCCTGTTTTAATTTTAATTAATTAGATTTGGGAGGGGGAGAGTCAGGGAAAAGGAACAAAATAATGTTATCTCTTCTCTTGACTTTGAGAATAATGGAGGAAGAGACAAAGAGAAGGTAGCAACATGGGATGGACATCCAGGGAAGCGATATGCTCTCTACATTTTTAAAAATGTGAGCAGGTAGCCACTGTAAACAACAGGGATCCAACACTAACCATGCAGAGTTAATATTCAGAAAATATGAGCTGAGCTTAAAATTGTAATCTACACTAAAAGTTGTTGCAGTTCTACTGACCTTTTAATAAGAGATGGTAAGCCACCTGTATAAATTATGCTAGGAGGTATTATAGCCAAATTGAATGGTTGGCTAGAGGCAGAGAAAATAAGAACTGAGCCAAGGTAGGAAGCTTGTCTGAGGCTTTATAGCCCAGGGGTCTAAGGCAGCTGGTGCTCTACATTTCTATAGCAGGAAACACAATTCAGGAATCCAGGGGCCCCTGCCTGATAGATAGACTTGTCTCCTAGTGTTGGGAGCCGGGACAGGTTGATGCTCAAGTCTAGTGCAATTTGACTTTTGGCATAATACCTTTTAGGCAGTGGTGATTCAGTACTTGAAATTAAATGTTTTGGCTTAAAAATCAGTTTCCCTGAGTGGTTCAGGAGATGGGAATTGTATTTTCACCTTGGCAGGCCTGTTTGTATGGTCTGTAATTAATCATATTCTTCTTTTTTCTCTAGCTGCTTCCTTCATTTGTTACCTAGGTAACAAAGGTGGAAGCTACTTAACGCCTGGGATGAAAGACTTTTTATCTTCATGAGTGTTTTCTTTAATCAGATTGCTTTCCTCCTAATACCAGAACTGCTGCTTTGCAGATTCACATCGTAGTCTATATAAGTGCTGCTCTCTAGTATCAGGCATCGTGGTGCCTATGCTAAATCTAGTTGTGATGGGTATACTGAAGGAATAGGAATTGTGGTATGATGTGGTAGAATGAATGAAGGAACCCTAGGAAATTTTGAAAAAAAAAAAAAAAGTGGAACTGAAAGAAATTTAGCTTGGGTAAAGTACTATGTGGGGAACTTGGGCAATCAGAGAGCATATCAGTGCTGAGTGGGATTGGGTCCATGTCAGTAAAGATAAATCTCAAAAACATAATGTTGAGCAAAAGAAACCAGACACATGAAGTACATTTATACAAAATTTAGAAACAGGCAAAACCCTTCTGTGGGGTTAGAAGTCAGGATCTGGTTACCCTTGTGGAGGGGAATAGATAGTTATTGGAAGGAGAGCAAAAAGAGGGCTTCTGGATGCTAGTAATATTCTGTTTGTTGATCTGGGTGTTGGGTATATTGGTATGTTGTGTTTGTTAACATTGAGCTATGCAGTTATGACCTGGTAGTTTTCTGCATGCATGTTTTACTTCAATATAAAGTCAAAAAAAGGAAAGAAAAGCTTGTAGTAGTTCAGTTCTGCTTACATGGTAGTCCTGTCTAATTGCCCTTAATTAGGAACTGGATAAATAGGGACTGGTTAAATTGAGTTATGTTCCTTATACCCCTGGGGATACAATGTAGCTATTTTGAGAATGAATAATTCTACATGTACTGACATGAAGCCATTATTAAATAAAGGAAGTTTCAAAACATATAACCCATTTATGTAAAAATAAACCATCATATGCATACGCTGGTATATACATAGAAAATATCTTGAAGGCATCAGGGAAATACAAATCAAAATCACAATGAGATACCACCGCACAGCAGTCAGAATGGCTAAAATTAACAAGTCAGGAAACCACAGATATTGGCAAGGATGGGGAGAAAGAGGAACCCTTTCTGTAGGTGGGAATGCAAGCTGGTGCAGCCACTCTGGAAAACAGCATGGAGGTTCCTCATAAAGTTGAAAATAGAGCTACCCTATGACCCATCAATTGCGCTACTCGGTATTTACCCCAAAGATACAAATGTAGTGATCCGAAGGGGCACCTGCACCCCAGTGTTTATAGCAGTAATGTACACAATAGCCAAACCATGGAAAGAGCCCAGATGTCCATTGACAGATGAATGGATAAAGAAGATGTGGGTGTGTGGGTGTGTGTGTATGATGGAATATTACACAGCCATCAAAAAAATGAAATCTTGCCATTTGCAACGACATGGATGGGACTAGGGGTATTATGCTAAGCAAAATAAGTCAGCCAGAGAAAGACAATTATCATATGATCTCACTGATATGTGGAATTTAAGAAACAAGGCAGAAGATCATAGGGCAAGAGAGGAAAAAAATGAAACAAAACGGAACCAGAGAGGGAGACAAACCTCGGGAAACAAACTTAGAGTTGCTGGAGGGGAGGGGGGTAGCGGGATGGGGTGGCTGGGTGATGGACATTGG